ATTATTATTATTATTATTATTATTATTATTATTATTATTATTATTATTATTTAAATATGAGTTACAGAAATAAGGCATAATTCAAGAACCAAGGCTACTTTGGAAAATAAAAAAGTTCAACATTTGTGTCTTTGTGTCACTTTTCTAATAGGTAGCACCCATTGTACATTCATACTGCATCAGCCATGATGCTCAGCAATGAGATGTTCAATTACTTGTGGCTAGAACAAATAATATATTAGCATATATATCATTATACTTTAAAGCACAACTGAGGACTCATTAGCCATGAATAAATGAATGCAAGTGAAATGAAACCCTCCCAGGCAATTTTTGTAAAGCGAGACTTTGCCACTTTAAACCAAACCCTTTTGCCATGGTGCTTAGTAGAGATAAAGTCTGCGCACAGTCAGATGCTTTCATACTACCTGTGCAAAAGAAACAAATAAAAGAAGGGCAAATTTCATTTTCAGATTTGTTACATCTGCTTGAATTGTTGCCTGTTGCTGTTTCCTGCCACTAATAAGATAAAAATGTTTGGGAGAGAAGGGCACGTGTGTCCTATGCATTGCCTGCGATAAAAGCAATTTTATCGTCTCATTTTATTCCATGAAACATTTATTTCTTATAATATTTTATCCCTACCTTAGTCATAATTTATTTAACATACTGTGAGCTAAATTTCAAAACTGATTTCATATATATATGAAGATAGATAGATAGATAGATAGATAGATAGATAGATAGATAGATAGATAGATAGACAGACAGACAGACAGACAGACAGACAGACAGACAGATAACAAACAATTAAGCAACTTGGGGGACATAAAATGGCTGCATTTTGTCAGTGCCATTTCGGCCTGGTTTTGGATTTAGAGGAGCAAAAGTGGCAATGGGAGCAGTTCACCTCTGGGAAGCCTCCTCTTCCCATTCCCATCCTTAAATCCCTTCCCTAGGACAAAATACAGATTGAGCATGTTCAACATACCTCTTCCTTTGACATTGTCCCCAGGTTTTCAGAAGATTTAGAGACTGAGCTGTGGCCCTCAGCTCTTGAAGTAAGGAGTCTCCGGGCTTCTCAGGCCATTGAGCAAACTTGACTAACAGGGTTCAGACATATCCACACAATCTGTTCTACCTTATTTTCTGTTAATATTTCCCTTGACAGTCTGGGTGATTTCCTCTCTAGTTCTTCCAGAACTGGGTTGTAGAATGCATACAACCTTCTTGCATCAGAAATATAATTCCAAATCATCGATTAGGTTGAGTTTAGATAGAAAGGTTCTCACGGATAAATGCTAAACAGTCACTGTACAATTTCCATGAAGATACTAAAATTAACTTTTAATAGAAGATGTGTGCCAGTTTTAGTAGGCCCTTGAATTGCTAGCCATCGTCCTTTGCAATTAGTCATAATTCAAGGCACATACGTTGAAAATCAGTGGTCATTCCGTACACAACAGCGTGTAGGCTGGATTCTAGGCTCGTTCCTTTTTCCTTCTATAAAGCATGAAATATTAAACGGTCTTTCTGTGTGTGACATATATTGCCTAAGTTGACTGCAGTCCACAATTATAGCATAACACAAGAGGGTGGCAATGATATGTGAGACAAGAGAAGCAGGGGAAAATGTGGATTGCAATGGAGAGAATTAGCTCAGTGAGATCCGCTGCATTATTCATGCTGTCATTATTTTGACTCAGTGGGACTGCCAAATGTGTTATCTGTTCAAGAAACGTGTGATACAACATGAGTTGTTTGCATCAGTATAATGTTTCATTAAACACAGGCATATACAGAAGTTATTTTGGCTGTGCGCATGAACATTAAAAGAGCAGTGTGATATCTAACATCATTTTCCAAGTCCTACCGATGTTTTCTCATGGAAAGTTTTCTATTGAGCTGTATTGTTTGCACCGTGCTTCAGTGGCTGCTTCAGCACTTGTGTGTTTTCACATAAAGGAAAGAAGGAAGGGGTCATGGGAACCATAGTCTTTAACTTAATTATATATATTATGGCCAGGCATGTTTCACTATGTCCCACTATGTTATGGATCTAAGAGTCTT